AGCGGCTAAAAACATGTATATATGGGCGAAGTCGAGTAGGGTTTTGTTCATGCCGAAAAAGGAAAGTTTCCCATGAGCCGAGCCTTCTCCTCCACGTCGTGTATGGGCCGACATTGTACCAAGGAAAGTTCCAAACATTAGGCAGGCCTCTTCTTAATTCATTCAAGGCCTTGGGCGCTGCTGCTCGGGCCATTAGACACTCCAAATCCTCCATGGGCTTCGTTTGCTCGCTTACCGGACATGTCTCGGTAAAAAAAATAAGTTCCGGCCTTATGGTTGATCCAAATGGCTTCATTCCACTTCGACGTGATGCATGACTCAAGTATCTATCTTTCCATGTCAAGATCGTGACTTTTGGACGTCGGGAACTCCTCCGCACGCGGCCAAACTTCCGAAGCTTCGTTCTGCTCGCTAGCGAGAACTAATACTTGGAGATAAAATGATGTCCTTGACCTGGAAATTTGTATGGAACTTGGTTTCTGACTCTTTTACTCCTTTTTGCATCCTTTTTTATGGTTTCACCTACAAAGATTTCAAATCCCACAAATACAAGAAAACTACCTTTAAAGGCAAAGAATCTTGCAAAAACCGTTTGAAATCATAAATAGTTATATAGTAAAATTATATAAAATATGGTGATATCAGCATCCAAGTGGTTAACTATGTCACAAATATCATCTACTATCGTCCACGAAACTACATCCATATGGATATTCATCTATGTATCAAATATCATAGACAAATTTCAATACAAATATATCCATAGACAGTTTTGAAGAGTATTTATACGTTTCTCCATGCTTACTTATCCAACAATTAGTATATATTTGCTAGTTTGTTATCTTGGTTCATCAACTGATTCCTTAATAAACGTATCTGTTTATGCTAGTTTTGTCCATGCAACCGCGTCCATGTAGATAGTTATTCATTTCTTAGTATAGTACACTAATTTCATCCACTGATTTTTGCATAACTGCATCTATTTATGTGTTCTATGTCACAACTATCATCTATTTATTATTTAATAAATATATGTCCATACAAGTGTTGTCCATACTAGTGTTGTTAACACACATTGCTTACTCTTCAACAACCTATGTACAGTTTTAACCAGAAAGTTGGAAGCAAAGATAAAGTAAACCTATATTGCTTGCTCCATACCCAGCTAGCTTAGTTTTGAAGCTAAGGTAAAAAAGCTTAGTATAAATGACGACCCCGCATTTCTTTCTATTTACCGATATATACTATTCGTTCCCACTTGATCCTTAAGTTTAGTTTAATTAATGTGATTAATTAAATCTCTCGTCAGTAACCAGAGAGTATTATTTTCTAAGATACCATAGGACTCTCTCTTATTATATAACTATGTTTTTAACCCGCGCTACGTGCATATTTGTTGTTAATAGTTTTATTAAATTCATTAATAACTTTAAATTTATCAAATTTTAATGGATGTTCAATGTTTTTTAATGTATTTTAAAAATAATTTATTATTTTCTCCTTCTTGTATTTATTTATAAGATTATAGATTTTATTAAATTATAAAATAAGCAATTGAAAACAAAAAAATGTGGATTACATTTGATTTTGACTTCAATTCATAGATAATTTTTGCAACTATCCAATAATTTTATCAAATTAAAATACTAAGTTATTTAATTTCAATGTTTCTCTATTTTTGTAATCTTCTAAGAGAATTTTGTAAGAACCTTTTAAACGGTTAAGAAATTTTGATAGTTACTTTCATAATTGTCAACTACCTACAAAAATTATTATTATTATTATTTTTTTGTCAACAGCCTCTAATTCTACAACTCATGAATCCAAGTTGGTAAAACATAGTTATATAATATACATTAGTAGGTAGAGTTCGAGCACTTCGTGCTAACCTGTCTGTCTTCATGTTATTCGTCCTTGATATATGCACAACGAAAAAGGATGTGAACCTCATTTTACATCTACCAATCTCTTCCAGTTGAATTGCAAAAGTCGGCTACTCGTCTGGTTTAGACACCATCTTTATCACGTCAGAGCAATCCGTCTCGAACACCATGTTTAAGTTGTTATCACTACAAGAAAATCGATCTTGCCACTACAAAAAATGTCGCAAAGTAGTCGAAAATACACGTTTTGAAACTATTTCACGACTACAAAATAGTCGCAAATCACTCGTCGCAAAGCCACGTAGTCGCTTCTTAGTCGCACATTTGAAACCAAAGTGCGACTACAATGTAATCTTATTTTTGCTACTATTGAGAGACTCCGCGTTAAATATTACAACGAGTATACGATAATCTCAAAAGAGTTGCTCAATTAGTGGCAATGAAGTGCAACAGTTGCTCAAAGTGCAACGAATTTTAGACTTCTTTAGTAGTGATAAAACAGTCGTCATATAATCGTTAAGTTTTGGGACTGATTAAAGACTCCTTTGGATGTGGTCGCAAAAATGTGACTAATTTTACGACTTGTTTGCGACTGCTATATATATATATATATATATATAGATTCATATATGATTTCATAATTTTATATTGACCGTAGTCGCAAAAAAGTGGTAAATATGTGTGACTACTATGCGACTTCTTTGAAATATGCAGTGGCTAAGTTGTTGCTTATATTTTATACATTTTGGTGACTAATTAGTTGTTTCTAATTTAAGTAGTCAAATAGATTTATAAAAAAAATTAGTTTTAAAGAATGCTAAAACAAAAATTTAGAAACTACTTCCTTTGTTTCATATTATAAGTCCCAAATTATAAGCAGTTTGGGTAAATGTATCTGAAAAAAAAGTGGATGTATCTGGATCCAGATACAGATACATATACCCAAACTGCTTATAATATGGGACAGAGGGAGTACTAAACATGTATTAAAAATCTACAAAGGAAAATCATGTCTACATTCAAAACACAAAACATGTGCACAACAAACATCAATTTACATTCCAACCAAGTTATTGTTTCCAATATAAACAACCAAAACTGTGGGTGCTGAAAACGACACTCGAAATTTATAGGTTTTGCAAGGAAGAAACTGATATACCTCTATTTTACATGCTTTTTATATGGTTTTACTATGCTTTTCATAAGGTTTTTAATGGGTTTATGATCTAATAAGGTAGTTTTTATGGATTTATAGTATTTAAAATCTAAACAGGTCAAAAGATGCATTTTGGAGCAAAACACAGGACTTTAAGACAACTCCAGGACGTAACATCAACTTAAGAAGGGCCTTAAAAACAATCTACTCATGACTTCATCAAATCAGTTTTAAGCGATGCAAATATGAGTTAGCTTTGCAATGCAACTGGAATCACTCAGTTTGGCCGAGTAGATTGGGAGATATCTCTATTTCTGTGAGACATATACGGAAGAGCTTATCGGACTGCATCAGTACATCAGACGAGCAGCAACGGCTTGGACCCTTAAACTCAATGGATTTCAATGAAACTTGATACCAATATAGGCAGATGAGTTAGTGTTACAAAGCCGTTGGAAGTATGCAATTTGGACGAACAGTTAAGGAGATAGCACGTTTTACAGCCGCCCGAACGCGCTCGGCTGGACAGGAAACTTGTTGGCTTCGCTCGGGCATCACCAGGACCGACCCTCACGACCACAGCGTTCGACCCGGGAAGCATTGGCCCGCGGTCGACCAAGATTTACCACATGTCCCATGCAGCCGACCGAGCGCATCCATCGATCCGGGAAGCAATGAACCGCGCTCGACCCATTCCTCGACATGCAATCAAAGCATCCGGCCGAACGTACCGGTCGACCAGGAAGGCAAAGGACCACGGTCGACCCAGATCATCACCTCACGACCAAGACCATCACATCACGGCCGACCCCGACGGCCGACCACATCCCTTACACTGTCGACCCGATCTCTGCGAACAAGAAGCCCCCTTATGCAGTTTCGACTTTTCTCAGTCCGTTTAACCTGAACCGACTTGGGAAGACCTAGGGCACTATACATACTCTTTTTTAGTCTCTTTAGAGGGGCGAGCCGCATTATTTTTAGAGAGTTTTACATTCAATTCATTTTAGAGCTTCATGGGAGAAGATCTCACCTTTGTAACACACTAGAGGAGATTTCTAAACCCTTTTACTTTCTATCAAGTTTTATTATGAATTCTTCTTCATCTCTTTGCTTGATCTGTGTTACTATGTTTGAGTAATCTCCTTGTTGGGTTTAAGAGTTTTCAAGGGATTTTCATGGATTGATTGTTAGGTTGCTAGATTAGGGTTTTTATCATTAGTGTTCTTCATTTGAGTTTGTGCTTATTGCTTATAGCTTGATTGACCGCCTAAGCTACTGTTCTTAAGTAGATTTACTTTCTGACCGTTTGTTAAATCTCTTGAATCAACTTAGATGAGCAAGGCATAGTAACCTACGTAAGTAAAATTGCAAGGCTTTGTGAACTAGATCTGCGGAAGTAGAGCTATCAAATTTAGACTGTTCATGTTTAAGCTCTTGATTACCTATGGGAGTTGTGTGATTTTGTTAGACTTAGTAATTGGCACTGCGGGAGTAGGTCAACTACACTTATCAATTCAAGTTTTAGAACAAAACTATTGATTTTCCTATCTATTTGCTTGATCCAATCTATGAAACCTTGTGAATTATCTGATTTCTCTTATTGCTTTCATCTTATTTAGTTTAATTAGCGTTGAAACCGTGACAACAACAAACCTCCATACTTGAGTCCTAGCTTGATTCGAATCTCATAAACTCACAGTGTAGCTTATCTGGTCCTTGTGTTCGATAACCCATACTACCAACGATCCGTGCACTTGCGGTATCTAGTAATAGGATTGGGTAAAACTTAATCCACATCAAGTTTTTGGCGCCGTTGCCGGGGACCAATACAGTTGCTTTGAGTTTCGGATTAGAGCATGTATAATGGAGGGTGCTTATGGAGATGCTTAAAAGATTTTTTATTATTATAATTGTGTTAAGCACTTCTATTAAAACTTCTCTATTTTCTCTGCTCTAATGGGAGAAGCTTATTTTGGGGTGCTTAAAAAAAAATAACAGAAAGTCAAGACTTTGATATAGACTACGAATCCTCTTCACTATACAAAATCCTAATCTGTTTCTTGCTCGTCTTTCCCTTGAATATAGACATCAGCTCAGCCACAAGTTCTTGTCATCATGATTCCTCACATACTAGTCTAAGAAAGCTTCTTTACGCCAATACAGGAGACATCGGAGGAAGTTCGCTTCCGAGCAATCCTTTTACAATGAGAGCTTGAATTACGTCAGTCCTCTTCTCCAAGCTGTATCCAAGCACTGCAGGTGTTGAAACCACAGCCTTTAATGGCCAATTCATTTGCTTCACAAGAAACTCAGTGTTCTTCTTCATCGACTCTGCAGATAAACCCATGCACTGAGGATAACGCTTGAACATTGTCCCAAAGACAGATTTTCTGATCTTGTGAGCCACTCAAAAGATAACCCTCCTTGAAGGAGCTCCAAGCCAATCCATAACCTTCTTGTTCATGTCCCATTAGCCCTAGACCAAGATCACACTCACTTGATTGAGGCTTGGCCGAGTGTCTGGCGTAATAAAAAAAAAACACCTCAGAACCACTCGCTTTAGCACCCACTAGAGTTGGCTTTTGTGGCAAACATTGCGCTCTGTTAACTTCTCCATACACATATTTTCTGCCGAATCTCCAACTGCAAAATATAGTCTTTAATAAACTGTCCCTAGTACTTTCATCGAACACATTGTGTGCGCATAACACAACATAGTAGTAACCATCTACAATTATTCTTTACTTCCGTATGTCAGATTCCATAAGCACGACACTATTTGATATGGATAGCGAAGTCATCTACCTATGAAGCAAATACCAATCAGAATCAATCCCAATCTAAGATCATCTAAAATCTGAAAGATAGTAGTGAAACACGAAGACCATACTCTTTGAGAAGACGAGGAGAAATCCTGCCCCTGATGCATACCCGACGCCATGGAAGTAGTTACAACTTCACGCCACTTCTTCTGCAAGTTCTCCTCTTGATTTTTCGAATCACAATGAGCAAAGAGAGAAGAGAAGAGAGAGTGAAGAATGAAGAGAGAGTTATTTTTTCCCTCAATTTCAGTCTTCCAATCGCCGGGTGACACGTGGCTATAAGCAGAGACGCTTCACACGCCTAATCAAGCGTCGGAGCTACAATATTTGGGCATTTTTCATTTAAATTTAATCCTAAATTTAGCTAAGCGTCCTATTAAGCGTCTACCGTTATACGTGATCTTAGAAACTAGTGTAGGATAGCTTTAATTTTTGTTTTTATTTCTTGTTTCTGGTTTTTCTTGGTTTTTGTTTTTATTTTTTGGTTAATTTTCTCTATCTCTTTGTGTTTCAGGCTAGCTTAAGGAAAAGATAGGACCTCTTGGAGAAGATATCTCAATGGATCCTCAAAACCGCACCATTGGAGAGTTTGATTCACTAGACATCTTCTTCAGAAAACGCCAACCTATATGCCCATTACCACTTGCTGGAGAGTTTAAGATTAGCTCTAAACTCATTGCTTTGGTGGAGCAACATCAGTTTCGTGGGTTAGATGAGGAGAAGCCCATTGATCATATTGAGAAGTTTGAAGAAATTTGCAGTACAAGGAGATGTAGTGGAGTTTCTGAGGACTATTTCAAATGCACCTTATTCTCATTCTCTTTGGTTGACACAGCCTACAAATGGATGAAGGCCCATACTTATCCAAACATGGATTACTAGGTTCTCCACATTACTATGAGGACAAACATGAGTGAAACAGTATCAATCCAAGGGAGGAATATAAAATGGACAAAATTTGGGAACCGGAAGAGGTAAAGAGTCCGAAATGTACCTCTGTGCCTCCACATTGTGGAAACTCACTTGTAGTGTATAAGATGAACTAGATGGACCCATACTTATCCAACACATGGATTAATAGGTTCTACACATGACTATGATGACATCCATGAGTGAAAGAATATCAATCCAAGGGAGGAATATCAAATGGACCAAATTTGGGAACCGGAAGAGGTAAGGAGTACGAAATGTACCTCTGTGCCTCCATATTATGGATCCTCACTTGTAGTGTATAAGATGAACTAGATGGACCCATACTTATCCAACCGTGGATTAATAGGTTCTACACATGACTATGAGGACAAACATGAGTGAAACGGTCTCAATCCAAGGGAGGAACATCAATTGGACCTAATTTGGGAATAGGAAGAGGTAAGGAGTCCGAAATGTACCTTTGTGCCTCCACATTGTGGAAAATCACTTGTAGTGTATAAGATGAACTAGATAGACCCATACTTATCCAAACATGGATTAATAGGTTCTACACATGACTATGAGGACAAACATGAGTGAAACGGTCTCAATCCAAGGGAGGAACATCAAATGGACCTAATTTGGGAACCGGAAGAGGTAAGGAGTCCGAAATGTACCTCTGTGACTCCACATTGTGGAAACTCACTTGTAGTGTATAAGATGAACTAGATGGACCCATACTTATCCAAACATGGATTAATAGGTTCTACACATGACTATGAGGACAAACATGAGTGAAACGGTGTCAATCGAAGGGAGGAACATCAAATGGACCTAATTTGGGAACCAGAAGAGGTGAGGAGTCCGAAATGTACCTCTGTGACTCCACATTGTGAAACTCACTTTTAGTGTATAAGATGAACTAGATGGACTCATACTAACCCAAACATGGATTAATAGGTTCTCCACATTACTATGTGGATAAACATGAGTGAAACGGTCTCAATCCAAGGGAGGAACATCAAATGGACCTAATTTGGGAACCGGAAGAGGTAAGAAGTCCGAAATGTACCTCTGTGCCTCCACTTTGTGGAAAGTCACTTGTAGTGTATAAGATGAACTAGATGGACCCATACTAACCCAAACATGGATTAATAGGTTCTACACATGAGTATGAGAACAAACATGAGTGAAACTGTCTCAATCCAAGGGAGGAACATCAATTGGACCTAATTTAGAAACCGGAAGAGGTAAGGAGTCCGAAATGTACCTCTGTGCCTCCACATTGTGGAAACTCACTTGTAGTGTATAAGATGAACTAGATGGACCCATACTTACCCAAACATGGATTAATAGGTTCTACACATGACTATGAGGACAAACATGAGTGAAACGGTCTCAATCCAAGGGAGGAACATCAAATGGACCTAATTTGGGAACCGGAAGAGGTAAGGAGTCCGAAATGTACCTCTGTGACTCCACATTGTGGAAACTCACTTGTAGTGTATAAGATGAACTAGATGGACCCATACTAACCCAAACATGGATTAATAGGTTCTACACATGACTATGAGGACAAACATGAGTGAAACGGTCTCAATCCAAGGGAGGAACATCAAGTGGACCTAATTTGGGAACCGGAAGAGGTAAGGAGTCCGAAATGTACCTCTGTGACTCCACATTGTGGAAACTCATTTGTAGTGTATAAGATGATTTAGACGGACCCATACTAACCCATACATGGATTAATAGGTTCTACACATGACTATGAGGACAAACATGAGTGAAACGGTCTCAATCCAAGGGAGGAACATCAAATGGACCTAATTTGGGAATCGGAAGAGGTAAGGAGTCCGAAATGTACCTCTGTGACTCCACATAATGGAAACTCACTTGTAGTGTATAAGATGAACCAGATGGACCCATATTTATCCAAACATGGATTAATAGGTTCTCCACATTACTATGAGGACATCCAAGAGTGAAACGGTATCAATCCAAGGGAGGAATATCAAATGGACCAAATTTGGGAACCGGAAGAGGTAAGTGATCGCGGGATCAGGTCTTCCCTTTTCCTATCCCTGATTCTGCAAGTGCAGAGGTCAGAAGTAGCAAACGGGTATCGAACACAAGGAGCAGATAAGTACACTTCGAGTATTGCAAGTCTAATTAGCTAGAAAACAAGTATGATTTAGGGTTTTGATTGTGTAACAAGGTAAATCAAACAGCAGCTAAACGGTTTATGAAAATCAATAAAGGGAAACGCTAGGCAATGAGAAACTCGCAGAGATTCAAGGTCGAACAAGATATTAGAAGGGTTCGCTAGGGTTTGCGCTATCTAGAACTCAGGTCACGATTGTATGATCTTTCCACTGTCGAGGCTCCGACCCCTTTGTTAATCTACCTAGTCGCTAAACTTTTGGTATGTCCCTAGGTGATTAAATCAAGCAATAGTTCGTTCAAGACCCAATTGTTCACAACCCCGCATAGATCAACTTTCGCAGTCTATGAAGTTTTGCTCACCAAATACTTAGTTCAGGTTATATAGCAAGCTTTTGGAGAGTATATGAAACCTAAGATCTGATGCTAGTTGATCAGAAAAGCAAGCAGCAATGAATTCAAGCAGATGAAGATGCGATATGTAAACCCTAGACTTTCTAACAACTATCAAACCATGAACTCTTGATAGATCTCACAACCTAACTAGTGGATTACTCAGACATGATCAAAGCAAACACACATAGAGATGAAGAAAACATGATTGCAATAAAACTCAAGTATGAAATCGTGATACAAGGGCGGCTCTCTTTCACAAGAGGCTAAAAAGCTATATATATAGTGCTAGGTCTTTAGAGGCGGCTTAGGGTTAAGCCGGGCCTTGAAAATATGAAATCGGGCTTCAAAACGGGCTTCGGGTCGACCGCGGCGTTGGGACGGTCGGTCGGGACGATCGGCCGGACGGGTCGTGGCCGTGGTCGAGTCGGAACGGTCGTGGCCGGACGGATTCGTGGTCGGCCGTGTGGTCGGCGGTGAAGGTTTGGCCGATGTTTCTCGGCCGGACGCGGGACGTCTTCCCGGCTCGGACGGAGCATCGGCCGTGGTACGTGAGATAGGTTGCGCGGCCGCGAGGCTTGTTTCCCGGCTCGCGCGGCATGGCGTGGAGTGGTCGTGGCTTGGCCGACCGCGGGACATGTTTCCCGGGTCGTGCGTCGGCCGGATGGTTTGAACTTTGGCCGAGACTTCAGACGGACGGATGGTTTTGGCCGAGCGGAAACATCTTTTCTCGGCCAGCCGTCTGGACCAGTCTTCACTCTTTTGGTTGTAACTCCTTTTCTACTCATCCAAATTAGGCCGTTCCAGTTGCGTTGGAAAGTTAACTCAATCAGAGCACGCAGGGAACTGGTCTTGATGAAATCCATTGAGTAGATCTTTTTCTGGGCCCTCTTAAAGTTGATGCTTGTGCATGGAGCGGCTTGAAGTGCAAATCCTATGGTTTTGCTCCAAAATGCATCATTTCACCTGTTTAGACTCTAGACACTATAAACACAGTAAAACTACCTTTTTAGATAGAAAACCTGCCAAAAACCATTAGAAAACAATACTAAAACAGTATAAAAAGCATGTAAAATAGAGGTATATCAACTCCCCCAGACTTAGATCTTTGCTTGTCCCCAAGCAAACAGAATCTAAATCCGTGAAAGAGGTTTGAAAACGTGGAAACTCCCTTGCTCTTTTGAATATCCTGTGAAAGGTTCCTTTCCTGTATTCCACTAAGAACATAGCAACATAAGGTTAGCTTCACATACACCCTGCAAGTTTAGCGAACAATACCAACCCAACTAGTCTCATCCAGCAATCCAAACTCTCTATTGCTAACCTCTTGCATAAATTTAAAGCGTGAGTTCTTTATCAAGGGAACATCGATCAATTGAACTTGTTCTTACCCACTTGATCTTCTCCAAGATTGTCTTTCAAGTGCAATGAGTTCTTTTCCTCTCTCTTTCTCACATCAGAACTTTGAAAGGTCAATTTCTCCCTACTTTTCTAGGGTATCATTTTATTTTTTCTATTGACCCTTCTTTCAACCACAGGATAAGTGAAGCACCCTAATCCGGTTTTCCTGATAAATTTAACTTAGTCAAATTTTAGGTCCGGTTTTTACTTAGCATTTCCAGTTGCATGAGGTTCCCACACTTAGTCATTTATGCACAAACGAATATACAGAAACTTGAAGTACTTAGATTAAATCATCTTGTTTAAACGAACAATGCAGAAACTTGAAATACAAATTCGGTTCTAGCAACAATGTGAGTTCGCTATAGGCTATTACATCATTAAACTAGTCCGTCTACCCAGACCTATCCATCCCTTCCTTCCCGGCCTTGTCTCGCGTCCAGATCAGTCAGTCCGGCCATCACCTATGGTCGGATCAGTTCCTGCCACATTAAAATGAGGCATAAGCAAACAAGTTTGCTTAGTGAATGCGGTCATCCCGCCCACTAAGCCACAGTACAGAGAATCGCAATCAGAACACACAGTTCAATAATCAGTCATGCCGTTAACCACAGTCGCTTATCGCGAACGGTCGGCTATCTAACCCGGCCGAGTAACCCTCGCCAATAGACCGACCATTCCGACCAAGCCATCAGAATCAGTACGACAAGCAATCAGACACATTAACAAGCAATCATCAACCATTGAATCTATCTATGCCGTGAGAACGACCATACACTATGACTACACGGTCACGCACTCACCTTAGTCAGTCAGTCGGGAATCGGATTCCCTTCGGTAAACAGAACAGTCGCGTACGGAGGTTCGTACGGTTACAGAACGGTCGCTCGGACGCTCTCGGACGGATCGTCGAACGTTCGGCTCTCGGATCTTCGGTACGGTCGGCTCTCGGTCAGACCACCGATCGGAAACAGGCGCTCTCGGTCGGAACAGACGATCGATACGGTCGATATCGATCGGAACAGACGAAAACTCTCGGAAACCGCTTTCTCTCTCGATAACCGTTTCTCTCTGGACACTTAGAAATATTTCTGAGTCTGAATGAATGAGGAATCCTTCTCCCCGAGTCTTTTAACCCGTGATCCCGTCCATAACCGTCGGATTAATGAAACGCACGCGTTTTGGCTCTCGGCCATAACCGTTCCCGCCTATTTCATTATCCGCGCTCGCGAACAAGGGAAATAACCGTTCCCGCGCATTTCCCTTCTGCGCGTCCCGGCCAAACCCATAACCGTTCCCGCGCTCAGACACTTAGCCGTATTATTCCCGGATGGAATAATATTCTCTCGGCCAAAGTCATTTCCGTCCCGACAGGAATAACCGTCCTGTCCGAACAAGACAAGACTTGTCCGAATTTTCACCAATCCGTTCGGACAAGTTCAGCTAGCTCGGCCACTCAGCTCACTACCTCGGCCAGCTGACTGATCCAGCTCAGTTCCTTCGACACTTAGTCGTTCCAGCTCAAATTTCTCAGTACATTCGGATTCTTCCATTTTCCTCGGCCAAAACTATCTTCCCGGACCAGTTCCTTCGGCCATTTTCTAGATTTCTGGTCCGCGGATGTTACAATAAGCCTTTAGCTTGTTCCTTGTTTGACTAAGGTATTCCATAAGACATGAAGGTACAGACATATGCATTCCTCATGCTTACTTGTTTTCCTTGTGCTCTTTGAGCTTTTTCTCATAAACATTACTTACCATTTGGGATGGGAGAGAGAGGAGAACTCTTTAAAGATTAGACAAATCTTATTGAAAATCAAGCAAGGAACTGTCGACATGTATGCCAACCCCCTTGACAAGAGTGATTAAGATTGATTAAGGGTGAGGTTAACTCTAGATTGCTTGGTTACCTTAGAAATTTTGCTGAGCTAGCATGTCGATCCACTGTAAGAGCTTCTGTTAGGCTTGTGCCTTTAGCTGGTTTCTGCTCTAGGGTCATGGATTGTTAGCACAACACTCTCAATTCTCAAAGCAAGTTCATAACTTCCGGACTGGTTTTTGACTCAATAAAACTTTTTGAAAAACATGAAACAAAGTGCTAAAACATAAGAAAAGAAAGAAAAATGCATTAGTAACACAATAAAACTCCCCCCAGACTTAACTTGCACCGTCCCGGTGAAAGCAAATCACATTAAGGTGAGAGGTAATATTCAAAACAAAAGAAAATTAAAGAAAGAAAATGAAAAGAAATGACCTTCAATGGGTTGCCTCCCATTCAGCGCTTTGTTTAAAGTCATTAGCTTGACTGTATGGCACTTCCTTAAGGATCTGGTGGATCGCCAAGCGCAGTGTGGTCTCCTGTGGTATGGTGGTGGAAGCTAGGTAGGGTTTTAACCTTTGTCCATTGACTGTAAAGTCTCCTCCCATTGGGTCCCATAGTACCACTGCTCCATAGGGGCGAACTTCTTTAATCCTGAATGGTCCTGACCATCTTGAGCGAAGCTTTCCTGGAAAGAGTTTCAACCTTGAGTTGAATAGTAGAACTTGGTCGTTTGGCGCAAAGTTCTTTGGGATGATCTTGCGGTCATGGAAAGCTTTGGTTCTCTCCTTATAGATCTTTGAATTCTCATAAGCCAGATGCCTAATCTCATCAAGCTCATTCAGCTGAATCAATCTTCTTTCTCCTGCTGTCTTTAGGTTGAAGTTCAACTCCTTAATAGCCCAAGCTGCTTTGTACTCCAGCTCCACAGGTAAATGACATGCTTTACCATAAACAAGATGAAAGGGGGTGGTACCAAGTGGTGTTTTGAAGGCAGTGCGGTATGCCCATAGAGCATCATCTAGTTTGGCACTCCAATCCTTTCTTGTCTTGCCTGTTGTCTTCTGAAGTATGCTCTTGAGTTCTCTGTTTGAGATCTCAACTTGTCCACTAGTTTGGGGTGGTAAGGAGAGGCAACTTTGTGAGTACTCCATGCTTCTTCAAAAGGTTGGCAAAGATTCTGTTGATGAAATGTGAACCTCCATCACTTATGACTATCCTAGGCACTCCAAACCTTGGAAAAATGATGGATTTAAACATCTTGATGACCACTTGTGCGTCATTAGTAGGGCTGGCAATGGCTTCCACCCATTTGGAGACATAATCAACTGCCACTAGAATGTATTGGTCACCAAAAGAGGTTGGGAAGGTCCCATAAAGTCAATGCCCCAAACATCAAAAACTTCAACTTCTAGTATAAAGTTCTGTGGCATCTCATTCCTCTTGCTTATATTTCCCATTCTTTGGCAAGCATCACATCTTGATATGAATGCATGAGCATCCTTAAACATAGTTGGCCACCAAAATCCAGCTTGTAGGACCTTGGATACTGTCTTGTAAGTGGCAAAGTGGCCTGCATAGCTAGAACTATGACAAGCAAACAATATTCCTTCTACCTTCTTCCTCAGGGTATGCATCTTCTAAACATTCCATCTGAACATTTCTTGTATAAGTAAGGTTCATCCCAGTAGTACCTTCTTACATCACGCAGAAATTTCTTCTTTCTGTAGCCAAAGAAGTTTGGTGGTGGGTATTCAGCTGCAAGGAAGTTTGCTATGTGGCGAAACCATGGTGTGTTTGATGATGAGATCTTTGTTCCTGGCCTGTGATGGCTTAGTTGTCCATGCTTATTGCTAGCTTCAGCTGCATAAACTGTTTCTTCAGGTAGCCTATCATCAAGAGGTAGATTTTCTTCAACTCTCATCCTTGAAAGGTGATCAGCTACTCCATTATCTGCTCCTCTTCTATCCTTGATCTCAAGATCAAATTCTTGCAATAGTAGTATCCATCTCAGCAATCTTGGCTTGGCATCTTTCTTAGATAAGAGATACCTTAATGCTGCATGATCAGAATGAACTATAACTTTCGATCCCACCAAGTATGATCGAAATTTCTCAAATGCAAAGACAATAGCAAGAAGCTCCTTTTCTGTTGTGGCATACTTGCATTGTGCCTCATCAAGTGTTCTGCTGGCATAGTAGATCACATGTAGCTTCTTGTCTTTTCTTTGTCCAAGCACTGCTCCTACTGCATAATCACTTGCATCACACATTATCTCAAAAGGTAGTTCCCAGTTTGGAGGTTGAACCACTGGCGCACTGACCAATGCATCTTTGATCTTAGTGAAAGCCTTGTGACACTCCTCTGTGAACTCAAAGTTAATATCCTTGCATAATAGGCGTGTTAGCGGCCTTGCTATCTGTGAGAAATCTTTAATGAACCTCCTGTAGAATCCAGCATGTCCTAGGAAGCTTCTGATATCTTTGACTGTCTTGGGCGGCTGAAGGTTTGTCATTACTTCAATCTTGGCCTTGTCAACTTCTATGCCTCTCTCTGAGATTCTATGTCCAAGCACTATTCCATCTCTAACCATAAAGTGGCACTTCTCCCAATTTAGAACTAGGTGCTTGTCTTCACATCTCTGTAGCACTCTTCCAAGATTTCCCAAACATGATTCAAAGGAAGAACCATATACTGAGAAATCATCCATGAAAACCTCCATAATCTCTTCTATTAGATCTGTGAATATGGACATCATACACCTTTGGAATGTAGCTGGAGCATTGCACAATCCAAAAGGCATTCTCCTATAAGCATATGTGCCATAGGGACAAGTGAATGTAGTCTTCTCCTGATCATCTGGGTGGATTGGAATTTGGAAAAATCCTGAGTATCCATCCAAGAAACAGTAGTATTGATGATTGGCAAGGCGCTCAAGCATCTGGTCTATGAATGGCAAGGGGTAGTGGTCCTTGCGCGTGGAGGAGTTCAGCTTCCTGTAGTCGACACACATTCTGTGTCCAGTGATTGTTCTTGTTGGAATGAGCTCATCATGTTCATTCTTGATGACTGTGATCCCTCCTTTCTTTGGCACGACATGTACAGGGCTGACCCATGCACTATCTGATATTGGATAAATCACTCCAGCCTTTCAATAGCTTCATTATCTCCTTCTTGACAACTTCCTTTAGGTTTGGGTTTAGCCTCCTTTGGTGTTCAATTGAAGAACTAGACTCATCCTCCAGGATGATGCGATGTGTGCATAGTTCAGGTGAGATTCCTGTTAAATCATCCAAAGAGTAACCAAGAGCCTTTCTATGCTTTCTCAGTTCGCGAACAAGTAAAGCGGTCTCTTCTTTTGTTAGTGCAGCATTAACAATAACAGGATATGTTTCATTAGGACCAAGATATTCATACCTTAGACCAACTGGGAGTTGTTTGAGCTCGGCTTTTGGAGCTCTAAGTGGGCACCATGGGTCGAACTTAACTTTGGTTTGTGATATTTCCTGATCTTGTCAATGTCTGGCTCTTCCTCTTCTCTCTCTAAGTCCATATAAGCTATCAGCTCTTTATAAGCTTCCTTGGAATCCATGAACTTGACTAAGCATTGAGCTTCTCTTTCCATGTATCCATACTCATTCTCAGCCTTTGTCAAAGCTAGCTCCAAGGGATCAATAAGAAGGAGTTCATCCAGCACTTCTTCTCTTGTCTCTGCGAGCTCTCCAATCCAAAAAGCTTGACCATCTACAGTTGGTTTCTCCATAGACTTGTTTACCTTCGAAATTCATCACTATATCTCCAAGATGCAAGTCAATCTTTCCATTCTTGACATCTATTATAGCTCCTGCAGTAGCTAGGAATGGCCTTCCCAAGATAAGAGGGTCTTTAGGTTGGTGTTCCAGCTCAAGAACTACAAAATCAGCAGGGATGTAGCAATCTCCAACCATGATTGGAACATCCATAATAACACCAACAGGGCGGCGAACAGATCTGTCTGCAAAGACTAGAGATATCTTTGTAGGTTTGAAGTCAGTGATGCCCAATAGCTTGGCCACTGAGTAAGGCATTAGGTTCACACTAGAACCCAAATCACAAAGTGCTCTATGGAAGTGTGTAGAACCGATCTTGCAAGACAAAACAAAACTCCTGGGTCGTTCAGCTTCTCTGGCATGCGATTCTGAAGTATGGCACTACACTCCTTTGTAATCATCATTGCTCCTTCTTCAAGACTCACATTGCTTGTGAGTATGGCCTTCATATACTTCCTGAGAGATGGAATTATTTGGCAAGCATCAATGAAAGGTAACCTTACTGAAAGTTGGCTAACAAGATCCTTGAGCTTTGCTTGCTCCTTCTCCTTCTTGGGTTGAGAAAGAACATTTCTGTATGGGATCTTTGGCTCATACACTCTTGGTTCTTCAGGTGGCTTCTCCACTTCCTCCTGAGTTCCTGGTTCTATTCTGACATGGACTTCCTTAGGTGGTTCAGTCCCATCTCCAATGATACATACTCCATTGGTTTCTTCTTGTTGGCGGCTTTGCTTCCTCTTGATCTGGGTATGCTGGCGGCTCATACCCTTTTCCATTCCTAAGAGTGATAGCTGCTACAGCTGCTCTCCTTGGATTGATTTCCACTTTTCCTGGTAGCATACCTTCTTCTCTCTTAATAGAGCTGGCTATGTTGGCAACTCTAAGATCCAAGTCTCTTGTGAAAGAAGAAATAGAATCCAACTTCTCATTCAATCTCGTGAAGGCTGACTCCAATCTCTCATCAATCAAGGCTGTGTGCTCTCTATGAGAACTCTTGATGAAAGTTATCAAATCTTCAAAATTGCTCCTTGGCTCCATTCTTCTCTTGTGAGGTGGTTGCTGATAATTTCTTCCTCCATGAACATCCCTCTTCTCATTGGGTGATTCTTGAGTAAAAACATCATGCTCTCCCTTTCCAAGCTTCTTCTCCATGTGCCAATCCATCTATTCCAACAAAGTTTACTTCTTCTTGGAAACTTGGAATCAAATCTCCAAAGTAATCTTGAATTATTGTGGATTCAACTCTATAAGCTTCTCTTTGTCTCTCCACTTCTCTTCCTTGGTTTCTCAGTATCTCAGCCATCATGGCTTTGATCTCTGTATCCATCTCTGTATGGATCAGAATTTATGGCCTTCACTGCTCTCTCATGCCCAATGAAGTTGTCACTGTCGCTTGAGGCTAGATTTTCAATCAAAATCTTTGCTTCAGTAACTGTCTTGGTCATGAAATTTCCATTGCTGGCTGTATCAAGAGAAAATCGACACTTCCCACTTATTCCTCTGTAGAAAATGTTCCATAGACTGCCCTCAGATAGTCCATGATTAGGACACTCTCTTGTATAGTCTTTGAAGCGCTCCAATGCTTCATGAAAAGGCTCCACCGGCCCTTGTTGGAAACTAGAGATCTTTTCTCTCAACAAGTTTGCTCTCTGCTTTGTGAAAAAGTGACCTAGGAATGCCACCTTGTACTCTTTCCATGTGGTTATGGATTGAGCTGGAAGAGACTTAACCCAGCGCAAAGCCTTCCCTGTCAAAGTGAAAGAGAATAGTTTGCACTTTAAGTACTCCTTGGGCGCACCTCCTGCACTGATGGTGCCACAATTTCTTCAAAAGCATCAATATGTTCCAAAGGATTCTCCTGGGGTTTTCCTTGGAACTGGTTTTGTTTCACCAAACCAATGATCTCCGGTGAAATCTCATAGCTTCTTCCTTCAGGAAGTGGCGGCTGGATGGGATTCCGATCGATTAGTAGTGTTGGATTGGAATCGAAGTCTCCCATGACTTCTTCATTGTGTCGTGCTCCATCTCTCGGCTCCATCATTGGCGCGATCGTGCGCGGCGTTCGGATCCGGCGGATCTTCGTGCTGCTCGGCCAGCGCGATCTCTCTCGCGGCCAAGTTATCTCTCTCCTCTTGATCGTCTGAATCACTCATGTTAGAGTCTTCTTTCAAGCTTAGTACCTGAAAGGGATAGAGGCAAGATTCTTTAAATAGAAAACAGTAAAAAGGAAAAACAAAAGTTGAAAATTTGCAAAAACAAAAAGGAAAAACGAAATTCTAGGCTAGACTATAGTTGGGAACTCGAAGGTAGCTGTATTGCTCCCCGGCAACGGCGCCAAAAACTTGATCGCGGGATCAGGTCTTCCCTTTTCCTATCCCTGATTCTGCAAGTGCACAGGTCAAAAGTAGTAAACGGGTATCGAACACAAGGAGCAGATAAGTACACTTCGAGTATTGCAAGTCTAATATAGCTAGAAAACAAGTATGATTTAGGGTTTTGATTGTGTAACAAAGTAAATCAAACAGCAGATTAAACGGTTTATGAAAATCAATAAGGGAAACGCTAGGCAATGAGAAACTCGCAGAGATTCAAGGTTAACAAGATATTAGAAGGTTCGCTAGGGTTTGCGCTATCTAGAACTCAGGTCACGATTGTATGATCTTTCCACTGTCGAGGCTCCGACCCCTTTGTTAATCTACCTAGTCGCTAAACTTTTGGTATGTCCCTAGGTGATTAAATCAAGCAATAGTTCGTTCAAGACCCAATTGTTCACAACCCCGCATAGATCAACTTTCGCAGTCTATGAAGTTTTGCTCACCAAATACTTAGTTCAGGTTATATAGCAAGCTTTTGGAGAGTATATGAAACCTAAGATCTGATGCTAGTTGATCAGAAAAGCAAGCAGCAATGAATTCAAGCAGAGGCGAAGATGCGATATATAAACCCTATGTGACTTCTAACAACCTATCAAACCATGAACTCTTTGATAGATCTCACAACCTAACTAGTGAATTACTCAGACATAATCAAAGCAAAAACACAAAGAGATGAAGAAAACATGATTGCAATAAAACTCAAAGTATGAAATCGTAATACAAGGCGGCTCTCTTTCACAAGAGGCTAAAAAGCTATATATATAGTGCTAGGTCTTTTAGAGGCGGCTTAGGGTTAAGCCGGGCCTTGAAAATATGAAATGGGCTTCAAAACGGGCTTCGGGTCGACCGCGGCGTTGGGACGGTCGGTCGGGACGATCGGCCGGAATCGGGGTCGTGGTCGGAGTCGGAACGGTCGGCGGACGGATTCGGGTCGGCCGTGGTCGGCGGTGAAGTTTGGCCGATGTTTCTCGGCCGGACGTGGGACGTCTTCCCGGCTCGGACGGATGCATCGGCCGTGGTACGAGAAGGTTGCGCGGCCGCGAGGCTTGTTCCCGGCTCGCGCGGCATGGTCGTGCGCGGCTGGCGTGAGTGGTTGTGGCTTGGCCGACCGCGGGCAATGTTTCCCGGGTCGTGTGCGATCGGCCGATGGTTTGGAACTTTGGCCGAGACTTCAGACGGACGATGTTTGGCCGAGCGTGGAACATCGTTCTCGGCCAGCCGGACTGCGCGGTTGGGCGCTGATTCTCGATAGAGCCGTCTGGACAGTCTTCACTCTTTTGGTTGTAACTCCTTTTCTACTCATCCAAATTAGGCCATTCCAGTTGCGTTGGAAAGTTAACTCAATCAGAGCACGCAGGGAACTGGTCTTGATGAAATCCATTGAGTAGATCTTTTTCTGGGCCCTCTTAAAGTTGGTGCTTGTGCATGGAGCGGCTTGAAGTGCAAATCCTATGGTTTTAATACGTTCCAAACATGGATTAATACGTTCTACACATGACTATGAGGACAAACTGAGTGAAACGGTCTCAATCAAGGGAGGAACATCAAATGGACCATTTGGGAACCGGAAGAGGTAAGGAGTCCGAAATGTACCTCTGTGCCTCCACATTTAGGAAACTCACTTGTAGTGTATAAGATGAACTAGATGGACCCATACTTACCCAAACATGGATTAATAGGTTCTACACATGACTATGAGGACAAACATGAGTGAAACGGTTCTCAATCCAAGGGAGGAACATCAAATGGACCAAATTTGGGAACCAGAAGAGGTAAGGAGTCCGAAATGTACCTCTGTGACTCCACATTTGGAAACTCACTTGTAGTGTATAAGATGAACTAGATGGACCCATACTAACCCAAACATGGATTAATAGGTTCTACAAATGACTATGAGGAACAAACATGAGTGAAACGGTCTCAATCCAAGGGAGGAACATCAAATGGACCAAATTTGGGAACCGGAAGAGGTAAGGAGTCCGAAATGTACCTCTGTGACTCCACATTGTGGAAACTCACTTGTAGTGTATAAGATGAACTAGATGGACCCATACTACCCAAACATGGATTAATAGGTTCTACACATGACTATGAGGACAAACATGAGTGAAACGGTCTCAATCCAAGGGAGGAACATCAAATGGACCTAATTTGGGAACCGGAAGAGGTAAGGAGTCCGAAATGTACCTCTGTGCCTCCACATTGTGGAAACTCACTTGTAGTGTATAAGATGAACTAGATGGACCCATACTTACCCAAACATGGATTAATAGGTTCTACACATGACTATGAGGACAACATGAGTGAAACGGTCTCAATCCAAGGGAGGAACATCAAATGGACCAAATTTGGAACCGGAAGAGGTAAGGAGTCCGAAATGTACCTCTGTGACTCCACATTGTGGAAACTCACTTGTAGTGTATAAGATGAACTAGATGGACCCATACTTACCCAAACATGGATTAATAGGTTCTACACATGACTATGAGGACAAACATGAGTGAAACGGTCTCAATCCCAAGGGAGGAACATCAAATGGACCAAATTTGGGAACCGGAAGAGGTAAGGAGTCCGAAATGTACCTCTGTGACTCCACATTGTGGAAACTCACTTGTAGTGTATAAGATGAACTAGATGGACCCATACTTACCCAAACATGGATTAATAGGTTCTACACATGACTATGAGGATAAACATGAGTGAAACGGTCTCAATCGAAGGGAGGAACATCAAATGGACCAAATTTGCGAACCGGAAGAGGTAAGGAGTCCGAAATGTACCTTTGTGCCTCCACATTGTGGAAACTCACTTGTAGTGTATAAGATGAACTAGATGACCCATACTACCCAAACATGGATTAATAGGTTCTACACATGACTATGAGGACAAACATGAGTGAAACGGTCTCAATCCAAGGGAGGAACATCAAATGGACCTAATTTGGGAACCGGAAGAGGTAAGGAGTCCGAAATGTACCTCTGTGACTCCACATTGTGGAAACTCACTTGTAGTGTATAAGATGAACTAGATGGACCCATACTTACCCAAACATGGATTAATAGGTTCTACACATGACTATGAGGACAAACATGAGTGAAACGGTCTCAATCCAAGGGAGGAACATCAAATGGACCTAATTTGGGAACCGGAAGAGGTAAGGAGTCCGAAATGTACCTCTGTGACTCCACATTGTGGAAACTCACTTGTAGTGTATAAGATGAACTAGATGGACCCATACTTACCCAAACATGGATTAATAGGTTCTACACATGACTATGAGGACAAACATGAGTGAAACGGTCTCAATCCAAGGGAGGAACATCAAATGGACCTAATTTGGGAACCGGAAGAGGTAAGGAGTCCGAAATGTACCTCTGTGACTCCACATTGTGGAAACTCACTTGTAGTGTATAAGATGAACTAGATGGACCCATACTTACCAAACATGGATTAATAGGTTCTACACATGACTATGAGGACAAACATGAGTGAAACGGTCTCAATCCAAGGGAGGAACATCAAATGGACCTAATTTGGGAACCGGAAGAGGTAAGGAGTCCGAAATGTACCTCTGTGCCTCCACATTGTGGAAACTCACTTGTAGTGTATAAGATGAACTAGATGGACCCATACTTACCCAAACATGGATTAATAGTTCTACACATGACTATGAGGACAAACATGAGTGAAACGGTCTCAATCCAAGGGAGGAACATCAAATGGACCTAATTTGGGAACCGGAAGAGGTAAGGAGTCTGAAATGTACCTCTGTGCCTCCACATTGTGAAAACTCACTTGTAGTGTATAAGATGAACTAGATGGACCCATACTTACCCAAACATGGATTAATAGGTTCTACACATGACTATGAGGACAAACATGAGTGAAACGGTCTCAATCCAAGGGAGGAACATCAAATGGACCTAATTTGGGAACGGAAGAGGTAAGGAGTCCGAAATGTACCTCTGTGCCTCCACATTGTTGGAAACTCACTTGTAGTGTATAAGATGAACTAGATGGACCCATACTTACCCAAACATGGATTAATAGGTTCTACACATTACTATGAGGACAAACGTGAGTGAAACGGTCTCAATCCCAAGGGAGGAACATCAAATGGACCAAATTTAGGAACCGGAAGAGGTAAGGAGTCCGAAATGTACCTCTGTGACTCCACATTGTGAAACTCACTTGTAGTGTATAAGATGAACTAGATGGACCCATACTTACCCAAACATGGATTAATAGGTTCTATACATGACTATGAGGACAAACATGAGTGAAACGGTCTCAATCCAAGGGAGGAACATCAAATGGACCTAATTTGGGAACCGGAAGAGGTAAGGAGTCCGAAATGTACCTCTGTGCCTCCACATTGTGGAAACTCACTTGTAGTGTATAAGATGAACTAGATGACCCATACTTACCCAAACATGGATTAATAGGTTCTTACACATTACTATGAGGACAAACATGAGTGAAACGGTCTCAATCCAAGGGAGGAACATCAAATGGACCAAATTTGGGAACCGGAAGAGGTAAGGAGTCCGAAATGACCTCTGTGACTCCACATTGTGAAAAGTCACTTGTAGTGTATAAGATGAACTAGATGGACCCATACTAACCCAAACATGGATTAATAGGTTCTACACATGACTATGAGGAC